CTGGTGTATATGTTTATAGCCCTCCACTTCCCTCTAAACATGTGTGCGCTTCTGTTTCTGGAGCAGCACATTCTTGTAATTGATAAAGTAAATGAACCGAAGGCTTTCCAAATGGTCATCTGTAAAAGGCATCCAGCCCAGCCACGGGTCATATTTTACCTGTGAGCATATGGGGACGAGAGGGGTGTGCCAGTGATCTTTGTCTGGTTTTGCGAAACCCCTCGTACATTTACACCGTATAGGATTAGAGACACATCATCTGAAACTAATCCCATGGCAATAAGTTATTTAAAAAATAGAGTGCACCCTTGGAACGAGTTCTGCATCTGTGGATTCAACCACAGATCAAAAATATTTTTGGGAAAAAAATAGGATGTTTGCATCTGTACTGAACATGTGTAGACTTCTTTTCTTCTCGTTATTCTAAACAATACAGTATGAAAATTATTACCATAGCACATATATTAAATATTTATGAAGAATCTACAGATGATCTAAAGCATACAGGAGGATGTGCATAGGTTGTGTGCCAATGCTATACCACTTTGTATAAGGGTCTTAAGCATTTGAGGATTTTGATATCCAGGCGGGTTCTGGAACAAATCTGGATACTGAGGGATGGCTCTACAGCCTTTCAGAATTAGATTTTCTATGATTTTAATGGTTCTTTCAAAGACCATGACAGTAATCACTGATGCCTGTTGCCTTACAAATATGCCTGTACAAATAGCTTTTCTATGATTACATGTACAAATAAAAGACAACCACTAGACAAATAACAAATCCAAGATAAGCGAAATTGAGTACAGTGGCAATTAAAATGGTTTGCATAAATGTCCTAGAACACATAGAACACGATTCATCCTCTTTCTAATGTTCCCAGGTTGACATCTTCTAAGATTATATTATTTGAGCACAGTTTTTGATGCACAATCATCTCTCTGTTCCCCTACTTGCTTGTGAGAGGGAAGATTTCCTCTTTATGTGTCTTAGAATCTTTTTTTTTTTTTTTTTTTAGACGGAGTTTCACTCCTGTTACCCAGGCTGGAGTGCAATGGCGCGATCTCGGCTCACCGCAACCTCCGCCTCCTGGGTTCAGGCAATTCTCCTGCCTCAGCCTCCTGAGTAGCTGGGATTACAGGCACGCGCCACCGTGCCCAGCTAATTTTTTGTAATTTTTAGTAGAGACGGGGTTTCACCATGTTGACCAGGATGGTCTCGATCTGCTGACCTTGTGATCCACCCACCTCGGCCTCCCAAAGTGCTGGGATTACAGACTTGAGCCACTGCGCCCGGCCCAGAATCTTTTTACCTAGCATGCTTAAACAAAACACACATCATTCTTAACATCAGGCTCTGAAAGTTCTTAGCATACACTATATAGACAGCTGGTTTGACAAGTACATATTTTAGCATAAGAAAAAAACAGCAGGCTGGGTGCAATGGCCCTCACCTGTAATGCCAGCACTTTGGGAGGCCAAGGAGGCAGATTGCTTGAGCTCAGGAGTTCAAGGCCAGCCTGGGCAATGTATCGAGACCCCTGTTTCTATAAAATAAAAATTAAAAAATACAGAAACTAGCCAGACGTGGTGGTGTGCACCTGCAGTTCCAGCTCTTGAGAGACTAAGGTGGGAAGATGACTTGAGCGTAGCAGACAGAGGTTGAGGTCACACCACTGCTCTCCAGCCTGGGTGACAAAGTGAGACCCTGTTTCAAAAAAATTAAAAACAGCAGATGAGTTTCTTTTTTAAAACTGGATTCAGGATAATGTAATGTTACTGATGTTCAGTAGGAGCCACAAACTTAAAAAATCTTTACATGTTACTGTATGTATTCGATATGCTGACACTAAATAGTTGAGGCAGTCATACCTTATGGTATTATTCCGGTTTTACTAGTGAGGAAACCAGCAGTTAATAACTTAGAGCTCAGAGCTTGTGTTCTTTTTTTTTGAGACGGAGTTTCGCTCTTGTCACCCAGGCTGGAGTGCAATGGCGCGATCTCGGCTCACCGCAACCTCCGCTTCCTGGGTTCAGGCAATTCTCCTGCCTCAGCCTCCCGAGTAGCTGGGATTACAGGCATGCGCCACCATGCCCAGCTAATTTTTTGTATCTTTAGTAGAGACAGGGTTTCACCATGTTGACCAGGATGGTCTCGATCTCTTGACCTTGTGATCCACCCACCTCGGCCTCCCAAAGTGCTGGGATTACAGGCTTGAGCCACCGCACCCGGCCAGAGTTTGTGTTCTTAATCTCATCAAAATATCTCCTCCCAAGTTATACATACCTTTTCAGACCTACCTTCCTCTCTTAGTTATTCATGATACACTGTTTCAATTTATGTGAATCAGTATCACCTTTAGTAAATGTATTTTATTTATTATTTATTTATGTCACCATGTTGGCCAGGCTGGTCTCGAACTCCTGACCTCAGGTGATCCACCCATCTCAGCCTCCCAAAGGTCTGGGATTACAGGTGTGAGCCACCGTGCCCGGCCTAGTAAATGTATTTTATGCCATTATATAGCAGACTGTAATTTATTCTGTCCTCTACTGTGATATTTTCCTCTATCTTCTGCAAGATTTACATTTTTAAAAATTGCTGTTTTTGCCAAGCAAGGTGGCTCACACCTGTAATCCCAGCACTTTGGGAGGTTGAGACGGACAGATCACTTGAGGTTAGGAGTTTGAGACCAGCCAGACCCAACATGGAGAAACTCCGTCTCTACTAAAAATACAAAATTAGCCGGGCATGGTGGCGCATGCCTCTAATCCCACCTACTCAGGAGGCTGAAGCAGGAACATCGCTTGAACCCGGGAGGTGGAGGTTGCGGTGAGCCGAGATCGCGCCATTGCACTCCAGCCTGGGCAACAAGAGCGAAACTCCATCTCAAAAAAAAAAAAAAAATACTGTCTTGAAATTTGGCTAACATCAATGGATAATGTCCTGGCAGTGATATTATAGTGTACACTACAATCACCAGCTGGGGGCAACCAGGTGAAAGATACATAGGCTCTCTCAGTTTTATGTGTACAACTACCTAAGCATCTACAGTTGTATCAATTTAAGAAAAAGAAAAAAGCTTTCACACACACACACAAGATAATGTCCGAACATATTGAGCATACATTTGTGTACTACTATAGCTATTTCTGTGGGATAAATTCCGGAAAGTGGAATTTTGAGTCCAAATGAGACTCGTTAAGTACCTACAACGTTTTGGAGACCCTGTGGCAGTATTTAGACTGAGAGCGCGACTAACCGGGCCCAACTACTGCCTGAATATTCTTTACAGTCCAATAAGCATAGAACACCGAATAGCAGCTCAGGGCAGCCTGTGCTGGCGGCCTGCAGAGAAATCCAGGTGATGCCCCAGAGGGGCTAGGAGAGGGCACCCTTCTGAGGACAGCCATGGCTCCCCGGCATCACCCCCCTCAGAGACCAGACAGGTACCAGCTGAGGTGACACGGCCCGTCCCCACCCCTGCCTGGGACCATTCAGGATTTCGTTTCCCAGAGGCCGCCCCACCGCCCCCAGGAGTTTAAGGCACTGCATGCTGGGACACAGTCCGGAGTCCTCCTCAAGCCTCTTACGCCTTCCGGAGGCCCCATTGTGGTTCGGCCTGAGTGGGGCATTCCCTTCCCAGGAGGAATCCAGGGGCGCCATGAGCCTGAGGGTTGGGGGAACCACAGAGTGCGCCTGCAGCTTCGGGAGAGGCCAAGGAAGGAAGGGGTAGGAAGGGTGCACGCACACATGTGTGTAGGGGTCTGTGTGGCCGTACATGCGTGTCAAGGTCTAAGTGACCACACACACGATTGTACGCACACATGCGTGTCGGGGTCTGTGTCCATGTGTGTCAGGATCTGTGTGCACATGCGTGTCGGGCTCTGCTGCTGCCTGCGCGCGTTCTGGCCGCTGGGTGCGCGAGGCTCTTCCCAGGTCCGGGATGCGCATACGCATGCGCACTGGCCTCCAGAGGTGGTGGGACCTAGTGTGTGACGCACTTGCGTGGGAGTGTGAGGCTGACGCGGGGGCTCTGTCCCTGTAAATGTGACACGGGTGCCCGCGAGCATCATTGGGGGCCGTGGGGGCCGTGCTGGGTGCGCGTCTGTACTGGTGACGCAGCCACACTGCCTCTCTGCCCGTCTGCTCAGGTGAGATTGGCGCGTGTGGCTCCCAGGAGAGACAGGCACCGGGCTTCTGACGGTGACGCACTTGCTGGAGAGAGTTTGGGAGTAACGCAGCCGGATTCTCCCTATAACTGGGGCCCGGGGGTGCTCCAGAGGCTTTGGGGCGCGCTTGTGAACCTCGTTGGCGCGTCCCTGGGACTCTGCTCTGCCAGGTGAACTCTGGAGGCTCTGTGGGAGCGGCGGCCCGGATGGTCACCGTGGCCCACGGATGCGCCTTTGCACGGTGTGGGGTGGCGGGGCCGGCAGCATGGCCGTGCGGGGCGTTAGTGGGCGTGAGGGACACAGATGTGTCTCGGAACAGCGTGTGCTGTGGTGAGGCTGAGCCGTGCAGGTTTGTATTGGGTGAGGGTGATCGGGCCTTCTGGGTGGCGCAGGAGTGTGTGGCAGTGCGACCTGTAGCTCCAGCGTTGCTGTTGCAGCCCCTGCCTTCAGCCTGTAACCAAGGGCTACCTGCCTGAGAACAAGTGCTGCCGAGAGACGAGAGCACCTGAGCCCCACCAGGAACTTCACCAACAAGAAGGGAGAAATAGCCATGAGGTGACACTTTGAGAGCCAGACGTGCTCTCCATGCAGGCCGCCTGAGTGACAGGAGATGGTGGCCTCAGGAGTAGAATTCCTCAGACGGACAGGTCCCTGGTGTGGGAGACTGGGAAAGGGGCAGCTCCACACTTCATCATCTCATTAACCTCAGCGTGCTCTTCGGGAATCTCAGAAGCCGCATCTCGGGGCCTCGTATTTCTCATTGGTTTCATTAGGCATGCCAGGTGTTTGCTAATGTTGCTTGTCCTCCCGAAATTCTGTTTCCCCTAGGCCAGCATCCTTCAGAAGAAGCATCCCCGAGGAGGAAGACGAATCGTTAAACATCTTAAATTTTCAGGTGAGTCTCCTTTCTTTTTTTTAAATTAAATGATACGTGTTTATAAGACAAGACCAAACATTAAATGTAGGTGACCAAGCTTTGAGTCCTGTTTCTGCCTCTTAGCTTTTTGAGCCTTCTGAAGATAGGCTTGTGAGGAGGGTGAAATGGGTGAGTGTGCATAAAACCCACAGACCAGCACCCCGGAGTGTAAGTGTGCAGTGAGTGCTGCTGTTATGTGCTAAGTCTGGATGTCTGTACATAGGAAGGTAACTGGGCTGGGTGTTCGCAGGTTCACAAAATGAACCACAACTTCAAATGGTCTAGAACTGTCATCCTTAACCTGAGGGCCTTCCACAAAATGAACCACAGCTTTAAATGATCTAGAATTGGAATCCTTAACCTGAAGTCCTATTGTTTGTGTTGTTGTTTGTTTTCATTTTGTTTTGTGGGATTGTTTGTTGTTTGTTTATTTGTTTGAAACAGGGTCTCACTCTGTCTCCCAGGCTGGAGTGCAGTGGTGCAATCACAGTTCACTGCAGTCTTAACCTCCCGGCCTCAAGTGATCCTCCTACCTTAGCTCTCCGAATAGCTGGGACCAATTTTTGTGTTTTTTTGTAGAGACAGGTTTCACTATGTTGCCAAGACTCATCTCGAACTTCTGAGCTCAAGCAATCTGCCAGCCGAAGCTTCCCAAAGTTCTGGGATTACAGGCATCAGCCACCATGCACAAGCTGTTCTGTGGTTTTTTTTTTATAAAAAAAGAGATGAGGTCTCCCTTTGTCCCCCAGGCTGGAGTACAGTGGTGCGATCACAGCTCACCGTAACCTTGAACCCCTGGGCTCAAGGGAGTTTTTTCTCCTTTCCCACCTGAGTAGCTGGGACTATAGATATGTGCTTACAGGTCCAGCTTTTTTTTTTTTTTTTTTTTTTTTTTTTTTGAGGCAACGTTTCGTTCTTCTTGCCCAGACTGAAGTGCAACTTCTGCCTCCTGGGTTCAAGCGATTCTCCCGTCTCAACCTCCCAAGTAGCTGGAATTAAAGGCCTCCACCACCACGCCCAGCTAATTTTTGTATTTTTAGTAGACACATGGTTTCTCCGTGTTGTCCAGGCTGGTCTCAAACTCCCGAGCTCAGGCAGTCCTCCCACTTCCACCTCCCAGAGTGCTGGGATTACAGGCATGAGCCACTGTGTCTGGCCACAGCAAGCATTTATTTCTCACAGCTCTGGAGGCTGGAAGTCTGAGCAGGGTGCCAGTGCAAGGAGTCTCTGGGGAGGCCCTCTTCCAGGCTGCAGGCAGCTGCCCTCATGCTGTGTCCATATGTGGTAGAAAGGGAGCTGATTGCTCTCTAGGATCCTTTTTATAAGGCACTAATCCTATTCCCGAGCACGCCACTCTCCTGTCCCAATCACCTTCCAAAGGCCCATATCCTAATGCCATCACACCAGGGAACAGAATGTCAATACAGGAACTTAGGAATAAAATGCTTCATTTATTAAGTGTCTTCAGAGGCTTAGGCACAGTATCGTGCTCAGGGTCAGTGTGTACGAAACAAACTCAATTTTCTTCTCTCACACCACAATGGTAATCACCAGAAAACTTTGAGAATTGGCCAGGTACGGTGTTTCACACCTGTAATCCCAGCACTTTGGGAGGTCGAAAGTGAGACCAGGAGTTTGAAACTTGAGGCCAGGAGTTTGAAACCAGCCTGGCCAATATGGGATAACCCTGTCTCTACTAAAAATACAAAAATTAGCCGGGTGTGGTGGCATACACCTGTAATCCCAGCTACTCAGGAAGTTGAGGCAGGGGAATCACTTGAACCTGGGAGGTGGAGGTTGCAGTGAGCTGAGATCATGCCACCGCCCTCCAAGCTGGGCAATAGAGCAAGACTCTGTCTCAAAAAAAAAAGCTTTGTGACTAAATGTGCGGGAGAAATAAGCTGTAGTGGACACCAGCTGGGTATCCTGCAGTTCAGTTCTGACACCGACTACCTGGAGATTGCATCAGATTCCACAGGTTCTGGGCAGGACTACCCCACTCTGCCCCACCGGCCACAAGACCAGGCCTCTCGGACATCTTGCTTACCATCTGCAGGTTAGGTTCTTATAACATTCTCTTTGGCTTCTATTAATTTATCTGATTGACTCAGAATTCAGGGAAACACGTACACCATTTATTACACAGGATATGTTAAAGGATACTGATGAACAGCCCGATGAAGAGAAACGTAAGGCTAGGGTTGGAAGGGTCCCAAGCACAGGAGCTTCTGTTCCCGTGGAACTGGGGTGCGCCACCTTTTCAGCGCATGGATGAGTTCTTGTGTACCTTCCTATCAGCCGCCTCTTGTTCGGCTGTCCAGAAGCTCTCCTCACCCTGTCTCCTTAGGCCTTTTATAGTGACGTCTTTGGATAGGTGTGACTGAAGCATGCATGACTGTGTCAGAATGTGATTGGACAAATACAGTTGATCTAATGCTAATAGACTGAGTGGGGAAACTCAGCAAGGCCCGTCTGTTCAGATTCTTCTTGGCCTCTCAGTACAGCCTTCCTTCCTACAGGTATGGGGCAGGACCCTCTCTGGAGTGAGGGTCTTATGACCCCTTCTTCCATCACCAAAGCCTACAAAACAGGTCATTTGTCCATAACATCACTCTGACCCTACTTGTGTCTTCACATACCTCTCTTCCTCTGACTCTCTTCTTTTTTTTAACCCCCTTTTTTAGAAAGAGTCTCACTCTGTGGCCCAGGCTGGAGTGCAGTGATGTAGTCTTGGCTTACTGTAACCTCCGCCTCCTGGGTTCAAGCAGTTCTTCTGCCTCGGTCTCCCAGGTAGCTGGGACTACAGGTGCCCACCACCACGCCCAGCTAATTTTTGTATTTTTAGTAGAGGTGGTATTTCACCATATTGGCCAGGCTGGCCTTGAACTCCTGACCTCATGATTTGCCCTCCTTACCCTCCCAAAGTACTGGAATTACAGGCATGAGCCACCATGCCCGGCTTTTCTTTCTTTTTTTTTTTTTTAGTTGAAGTTTTGCTCTTTTTGACCAGGCTAGAGTGCGATGGTGCGATCTTGGCTTGCTGCAGCCACCGCCGCCTCCCAGGTTCAAGCAATTCTCCTGCCTCAGCCTCCTGAGTAGCCGGGATTGCAGACATGTGCCACCACACCCGGCTAATTTTGAATTTTTAGTAGAGACAGGATTTCTCCATGTTGGTAAGGCTGGTCTGGAACTCCCAACCTCAGTGCTGCGATTCCAGGCATGAGCCACTGTGCTTGGCCACCTCGTCTTCTAGTTTTAAGGACTTTGGTCATTACATGGTACCTTCTGGGAGAACTTCAAGATAATCTTCCTGGCTGGGCACGGTGGCTCACGCCTGTAATCCCAGCACTTTGGGAGGCCGAGGTGGGTGGATCACCTGAGGTCCGGAGTTCAAGACCAACTTGAATCACCTGAGGTCGGGAGTTTGAGAGCAGCCTGACCAACATGGAGAAACCTCATCTCTATTATAAAAATAAAAACTAAATATTTTCTGAGAAGCCCGAAAAAAAAAAAAGAGAAAAAAATAAAAAGTAAAAAAATAAAGATAATCTTCCCTATCTTAAGAGTCAGCTGATTAGCAATTTTAAGTCTATCTGCAATGTTAATTTTTCTTTGCCATGCAAGGTAATACATTTGAAAGTACTAGAATTACCAAAGAGACATATTTGAGAGGTGGGCAAAATAGCAAGATTCCATCTCTACAAAAATACAGAAGTTAGCCAGTGTACCTGTGGTCCCAGCTACTAGGGAGGCTGAGGTGGGAGGATCACTTGAACCCAGGAGATCGAAGCTGCTGTAACCTATCTTCGTGCCACTGCACTCCAGTGGTGACAGAGTGAGGCCCTGTCTCAAAATACAGGTACATACACCACACACATACACACATTTGAGAGGCAGGCCTATCCGTGCAAAGTTTCCTTAATGACTGCAGTGTGCCTTCTTCCCCATAATTGTGTTTGCGTTTGCTTTCTTTTTTTAATTTGAGACTATCTTGTTAAATTTCTTGTAATGAAATTAATGCAAGCCTGCTTGGGGGAAAAGAATTAGTCCCTAAGGAGCTCTTAGAGAAAAGTCTGTAAATTACCCATAATTACAATCCAGAGGTAATTACTGTTTCTAGTCCTTGTTGTAATTAATGTTTCTAGTCCTCCTTTTTGCCTTTAAGCATGTATGTATTTTCTTTCTGGAGCACGGAATCTTACTAATTAATCATGTAAATACACCAGAGACTCTTTAAATCTAGTTTTGAATCTAATCTATGGCAGCAAATTATCAAGAAAGGCAGCCTTTAAAATTAGAGATTCTAAGGTGGAAGGATTGCTTGAGGCCAGGAGTTTGAGATCAGCCTGAGCAATATAGTGAAATCCCATCCCTCCAAAAAATTAAAAAATTAGCCAGGCGTGGTGGTGTGTGCCTATGGTCCCAGCTACTTAGGAAACTGAAGTGGGAGGATTCCTTACAGTCCAGGAGGTTAAAGCTACAGTGAGTTAAGGCTACTTACTGCCATCCAGCTTGGGTGAAAGAGTGAGACCATCTCAAAAAAAAAAAAAAGAAATCAGTGATGGGCAGCTATTAAATAAATAAATAAAAATAAAAAATTAAAAAAACAGAGATTCTAGAATTTTCTTTTGTTGTTGTTGTTGTTTTTGAGATGGAGTTTCGCTGTTGTTACCCAGGCTGGAGTGCAATGGCGCGATCTCGGCTCACCACAGCCTCCCCCTTCTGGGTTCAGGCAATTCTCCTGCCTCAGCCTCCTGAGTAGCTGGGATTACAGGCACGTGCCACCACGCCCAGCTAATTTTTTGTATTTTTAGTAGAGACGGGGTTTCACCTTGTTGACCAGGATGGTCTCGATCTCTTGACCTCGTGCTCCACCCGCCTCGGCCTCCGAAAGTGCTGGGATTACAGGCTTGAGCCACCGCACCCGGCAAGATTCTAGAATTTTCATGTTTCTTTCTCAGAACATGACAGTAATCACTGGTAAAAGCTAATTAATCATTGGGTGTCTTACAAATATGGGCTTTCCGGATAGCATTAGCAAGGTTACAGATACAAGTAACAAATATGGACGTATAAGTAACATTTGCAAGATAAACAAATATGACCATAGTTAAAAATGTTCACATGTATCTTTCATTTCACATAGAATGCAAGATTCACACCGGGCACAGTGGCTCATGCCTGCAATCCCAGCACTTTAGGATGCCCAGGCAGGCAGATCTTGAGGTCAGGAGATCGAGACCATCTTGGTCAACATGGTGAAACTCCATCTCTACTAAAAATACAAAAATTAGCAGGGTGTGGTGGTGTGCACCTATAGTCTCAGCTGCTCAGGAAGCTGAGGCAGGAGAATCACTTGAACCTGGGAGGCAGAGCCTTCAGTGAGCCAAGATCATGCCACTGCACTCCAGCCTGGGCAATAGAGCAAGACTGTCTCAAAAAAAAAAAAAAAGATTCACCCTCTTGCTAATGTTTTCAAGTTGGCATCTTCTCAGAATAGGTTCTGTAAGGTGGATTTTTTTTCATTGTTGCTTTTTTTTTTTTTTTTTTTACCACCCCTAGAAGCAGTCTTGCTGTGTTGCCCAGGCTGGAGTGCAAGGGCTCAATCTCAGCTCTCTACAACCTCTGCCTCCTGGGTTCAAGCAATTCTCCTGCCTCAGCCTCCCAAGCAGCTGGGATTACAGGCACGTACCACCACACCTGGCTAATTTTTTTTGTATTTTTAGTAGAGGTGGGGTTTCCCCTATTGGCCAGGCTGGTCTCAAACTCCTGACCTTATGATCTGCCCTCTTTGTGCCTATAATCCCCAAGTGCTGGAATTATAGGCGTGAGCCACCACGCCTGCCCTATTTTTTTTTTTTTTTTAACATTCTTAGGCATGCATTTGTAGACTACTATAGCTACTTCCTTGTCATAGATTCCAGAACGTGGAATTTTGAGTCAAAATTAGACATTCGTTCAGTGCCTACAATATGCCAGATGCTGTGGCTATTAGTACTTGGAATGAGAGTCTGATTCAGTGGACTCAGCTGCTGCCTGTACAGTGTCTATAGTCCACCAAGGGAAGCTAAACAGAAGAAGCGCAAGGCAGCCTGTGGAAAATTCCAGGTCACACGCTCAGAAAGGTGCCAGGAATGGGACATCATCCTGAGGACAGCCACTGATGTCAGGTTCATGACCTGATAATTCTGAATATACTGACTCTTTGTTGGGATAAATGGATGCCCCCATCAGAAACAAAGACATTCCTGGTAGATATGATATAGATTACCTTTCAGAAGCAGAGGGCAAAGGCCAGGCTTCTTTTTGGGCAAGACCTCATACTTTATTACATCCCATCTGTCAGTCCCCGATAGGGGGCCGGCCAGAAATGAAATCCTTCTGTTAAATTGTCTGGGCCTGTCTTTGAGACAAAAAAAAAAAAAAAAAAAAAAGGAAAGCATGCTCTGCTTCGTGCAGCTAGGTTTCCTGAGGTTTCATTGAGAGCTTGATTTAGGTTTGATCCATAATACTCTCTAATTTTTCCCAGATATGTCACAGTTTTGTCTTTGTTTTAGGAAGCCAAGACAGAGGAGCAAAAAGGTCATATTATATCACTTTGGGGACCCAGGGTGCACCTGTTTTTTTTTTGTTTTTGTTTTTGTTTTGAGATGGAGTTTCACTCTTGTTGCCCAGGCTGGAGTGCACTGGCGCCATCTCAGTTCACCGCAACCTCTTCCTCCCAAGTTCAAGTGATTCTTCTGCTTCAGCCTCCCAAGTAACTAGGATTATAGGCATGTGCCACTACGCCCGGCTAATTTTGTATTTTTAGTAGAGATGGGGTTTCTCCATGTTGATCAGGCTGGTCTTGAACTCCTGACCTCAGGTAATCCGCCCGCTTTGGCCTCCCAGAGTGCTGGGATTACAGGTGTGAGCCATCGTGCCTGGCCGCCCCTGGTTTTAATATGTCTTTTTCCACCCCTAGCTCTAGCCTCTCGGAATTTGTGTCTTCTGCAGAGGAAACCCCAAGAAGACTGATCAGTTGTTCAGTTCTAAAACAATGGCCCAGGTAAGTGTTTATTTCTCTTTCCTTCTTGAGCTATGATATTTGGGGTTTGTGCCTATGCTTGTGATTTATCTAAAGCCTTTTATCTAGTCAAACTCTTTATAATTACCTATTTCCTGATTCTTTCTATTCTAGTGAATGATCATGCCATGTAGCTCCGTATCTGCCTTTCTGGGAAATGAGTGAGCACCTTAGTATGTCCTATTACTCACTTTTTTGGCAAGAGTAACGTCAGAGCAATGAAGTAACGAGGTCCTTTGAGGAAAATACTTAAGTCCATGGCTTGATAAGTTAGATATGTTGGTCCCATTTGACCACATGAGAAACAAATCCTCCACTGATCTTGTTTTCTGCGTAGACAGGAGGGTATGCTCCTTTGCTGGTGTCAGTCTTAGTGTGTGTTGAGATCCCAAGCTTCATGGGTCTTTTGGAAGTAGATAGGGCTGTGATTAGGACCTTTGAACAGAGCTCGTGTTCTTGCCGGGGAAACTGGAAGATGCATTTTATTATTGAATGGACCTGTCAGACGGCAAGATGATTCCAAATAATCTGACATTCTTATCCTCTAAATCAGGAACAGGGGGCCAGGTACGGTGGCTCACACCTGTAATCCCAGCACTTTGGGATGCCCAGGGGGGCGGACTGCTTGTGGTCAAGTGTTCCAGACCAGCCTGGCCAACATGGTAAAACCTCAGCTGTACTAAAAATGTCAAAATTAGCAAAGTATGGTGGCATGTGTCTATAATCCCAGCTACTTGGGTGGAAGAGGCAGGAGAATTGCTTGAACCCAGGAGATGGACGTTGCAGTGAGCCAAGTCTGGGCAATAGAGCAAGATCTTTCTCAAAAAAAGAAAAAAATCGGGGTTGGTAGATGGTAACAAATGTGAAGATCTTCTAGTATGGAAGCGGGAGATGATCACATACCCCAGAATTGGAGAAAGCCTTAGGTATTTTGGTCAATCTAAGTGGATAACTATAATAAACAGTCTGGCTTACCTGTGTAGGAATTTTTTTAATGCTTAAAAGGAAGGCTGCTTAAAATGTAGTTTGGCATGATGAACTTGAGGCTTGAAAACATTTAAACATGCAAACTCCATTTTCTTTCTTTCTTTTTTTTTTTTTTTTGAGATGGAGTTTTGCTCTCGTTACCCAGGCTGGAGTGCAACGGCACGATCTCGGCTCACCGCAACCTCCGCCTCCTGGGTTCAGGCAATTCTCCTGCCTCAGCCTCTTGAGTAGCTGGGACTACAGGCACACGCCACCATGCCCAGCTAATTTTTTGTATTTTTAGTACAGACGGGGTTTCACCTTGTTGACCAGGATGGTCTCGATCTCTTGACCTCGTGAACCCGCCTCCGCCTCCCAAAGTGCTGGGATTATAGGTGTGAGCCACCGTGCCCAGCTGCAAACTCCATTTGCTAAACTAAAACTTAAAAATCTTGATTTTTCCCCCCTTAAAGAAAAAAGATGCTGTAGGAACCCACACTTGTTGAGAACTTTAAGGCAGGCATGTATGTAGCAGACACTGCTTGTAAACAGGAAGGAAACTTGATTGTTGATCCACTTTGCAGGTCTGACTAATGGAGGATTCTGAACAGTACAAGTCATTTTCTCTGCAGTGGTAGGGCTTTTGAGTGACGTGCAGGTGTTCTGCTTCCGTCACAGTTACACTGATATCCTCACCGCCCCCTGCCTGTGACACAGGTGTTCAGTCTACTCACAGTGCCCAGCCTACCCAGAGGGTGGCCTCTTTTTTTCTTTTTTACTGGCAGGATATTTAGCATAAGGGTGGCCTCTTGTCTCCTTCAGCTGGAAGCTGTTTCCTTTCACGTGTGGGTTTCTGTTTCAGGGTTTGGTGACATTCGCCGACGTAGCCATAGACTTTTCTCAGGAGGAGTGGGCCTGTCTGAACTCTGCTCAGAGGGACCTGTACTGGGATGTGATGCTGGAGAACTACAGTAACGTGGTCTCACTTGGTGAGTTGCACACCCCACATAACTTAGACTGCTTCCTGGAATATCAGCTCCCCACTGTGAATGTCAGGACCATCTTTCAAGAAACCAGTTGAGGCCGGGCGTGGTGGCTCACACCTATAATCCCAGCACTGTGGGAGGCCGAGGCGGGTGGATCACGAGGTCAAGAGATCGAGACCATCCTGATCAACACGGTGAAACCCCGTCTCTACTAAAAATACAAAAATTAGCTGGGCGTGGTGGCGCACACCTGTAGTGGTGTGCACCTGTAGTCCCAGCTACTCTGGAGGCTGAGGCAGGAGAATTGCTTGAACCCAGAAGGCGGAGGTTGCGGTGAGCCAAGATTGTGCCATTGCACTCCAGCCTGGGTAACAAGAGCGAAACTCCGTCTCAAAAAAATAAACTAGTTGAATTTCTTCTTCCTGTTCCCAAGGAGTATGTTGAGTCTTACTGGTGTGGCCATGAGCATCACACTCCTTCCTCTCAAGTCCATCAGTTACCTTTGTCAGGCTCCCCCGTAATCAGCTCTCTTCCTAATGTCCATGGAGTGAGTTGGAATTCTGGGATATTTATTTCATGACCATCTTCAAAGGAACCAGTTTGTCCTATAATATTATGTTATACCCAAATTACTGTTGGTGGTCTGTGGTACTCTAGGGACCTACCTCTAGGGAAAACATGTGGACACAGTGCCCTGACTTGTTCAGTGAGCCAGCCTATGTGCTTGAAATAGAGTAGATTAGACAAACAGAATTTGTGTAAAACCAGAGTGAGCATATTTCTTTTTCCTTTTTTTTTTTTTTTGAAGCAGAGTCTCACTCTGTTGCCCAGGTTGGAGTGCAGTGAGGCAGTCTTTGCTCTCTGCAACCTTTGCCTCCTGGGTTCAAGTGATTCTCCTGTCTCAGCCTCCCGAGTAGCTGGGAATACAGGTGCCAGCCATGTTTTTGTATTTTCAGTAGAGACGGGATTTCACTATGTTGGCCAGGCTGGTCTTGAACTCCTGACCCTGTGATCCACCCACCTCGGCCTCCCAAAGTGCTGGGATTACAGGCGTGAGCCACCAGGCCCAGCCATATTTCATTTCTTACCTGTCATACCTGAAGTGAGGTTGGAAGTTACAGTCCCTGAACTTTGAGTTAAACATTGAATGACAGTATCTTGTAAACATCTCTGGAAACTTATTTTTATTCTAGCTAAGTAACAGATATTAATAGCTAAGCCATCTATGGTGACACTGCCTGTAATCCCAGCTACTCGGAAGACTGAGGCAGGAGGATCATAGTTCACTATGATCACACTGTACTTACTCCAGGCTGGGCAACAGATCAAGACCCCATCACTAAATATATATATATATATTTATACCCACACACACACAGGCAATGTATATATATAAACACATGTAAGCTATATATATGTATTGCTTACTCTGTGCCGTGCACTGTTCTAAGCACTATGTGTGTGAGTGCATACCATTTCATTCTCACAAGCAGATGAGATCGGCACAATCGTTGTCTATTTTGGAGATGAGGATATTGAGGCACAAAGTGGAGTGGTCACATGGAGCAGGAGCTAGAATTGAATCTAACAGTTTTAGGCCCGATTCCATGCTGCCAGCCATCATATTCCACTTGTCTCCAGGCATAATGCCTACAGAAATTTAAAATAGGACCTTTTCTGGGCTGGGTGCAGTGGCTTGTACCTGTAATCCCAGCACTTTGGGAGGCAGAGGTGGGCGGATCACTTGAGTTCAGGAGTTTGAGACCAGCCTGGCCAACATAGTAAACCCTCTCTCTATTAAAAATATAAAAAATTAGCTGGGGCCAGGTGCGGTGGCTCACGCCTATAATCCCAGCACGGGAGGCTGAGACAGGCAGATCACCTGAGGTCAGGAATTCGAGACCAGCCTGACCAACATGGAGAAACCCCATCTCTACAAAAAATGAAAATAAAAATTAAAAATTAGCCGGGCATGGTGGTGCATGCCTGTGATCCCAGCTACTCTGGAGGCTGGCACAGGAATTGTTTGGACCCGGGAAGCAGAGGTTGCAGTGAGCCGAGATCATGCCAGTGCACTCCAACCTAGGTGACAGAGCAAGACTCTGTCTCAAAAATAATAAAAAATAAAGCCGGTACAGTGGCTCACGCCTGTAATTTTGGGAGGCCAAGATTGGCAGATCACGAGGTCAGGAGTTTAAGACCAGCCTGGCCAACATGGTGAAACCTTGTCTCTACTGAAAATACAAAAATTTGCCAGGTATGGTGCTGCACGCCTGTAATTACCGCTACTTGGGAAGCTGAGGCAGAAGAATTGCTTGAACCCAGGAGGTAGATGTTGAAATGAGCTCAGATGGTGGCATTGCAGTCCAGCCTGGGCAACATAGCAAGACTCCATCTCTGAAAAATACATACATACATACATTCATTGTGATTGGAGCTCAGGTGTCTATGATAACCAAAAAATATATATAAAATAAAATTTAAAAGATACATTCATACATAAAAAAAATAAGATCTTTTCCCTACCTCTCTGGTTTCCTGTTTTTTATTCCTTTCTCTTTATGAAGGCTTTATCAAAAACATTTCTTTTTTTTTTTTTTAATAAGTTTTTGTTTTTCACTGTGTCTCACAGGCTGGAGTGCATTGGTGTGATCATGGCTCACTGTAGCCTCAACCTCCTGGGCTCAAGCAGTCCTCCCTCCTCATCCCCCTGAGTAGCAGAAACCACAGGCGCGCACCACAACACCCAGCTAATTTTTTGGGCTTTTTTTTTTTTTTTTTGGTAGAGATGGGGTTTCACCATGTTGCCAACTCCTGGGCTCAAGCAATCCACCCACCTCAGCCTCCCGGGAAGCTTAGATTACAGGTGTGAGCCACCACACGCAGTTCAATAGCATTTTGACTTCCGGTTGTTAATAAATTTGATTAATGCTCAATCAAAAAATTTTGAGGCCAGTCATAGTGGCTCACGCCTGTAATCCCAGCACTTTGGGAGGCTGAGATGGGCAGATCACCTGAAGTCAGGAGTTCAAGACCAGCCTGGACAGTGTGGTGAAACCCCGTCTCTACTAAAAAATAGAAAAACTGAGGCCAGGCACAGTGGCTTGCGTCTGTTATCCCAGCTACTCAGGAGGCTGAGGCAGGAGAATCACTGGAACCCAGGAGGCAGAGATTGCAGAGAGCTGACATCATTCCTCTGCACTCCAGCCTGGGCGACAGAGCAAGACACTGTCTCAAAAAAATAAAAATAAAAATAATTTTTTTTTTTAATTTTTGAGCTTGAAATTCTTCCTTAAGGTCTACATCTTCTGGCATTTTTTTTGTCTTTTATAAAGCAGAGCATATCATTTCTAAGCCAGCTGCACCATCTTATAGAATTAAGGGAACGAGACTTGATGGTTGTGAGGGAAAAGACAAGACCACCATACAAAGGAAAGTGAGAGCCCGTCAGCCATCCTTACAAAGAGTGTCCTGGCTGGGCGGGAGCAGGGGTACCCTGAGGTGTCGGAGAAGCTCTCTACAAAGGTTTAGGCCCAAAGCCTCTGGGAAAGAAAGATCTTCACCCCGTGTCCCTGTCACCTTGTTTTTCCTGTCTTATTTAACCCCATCTCATGTGTTGCTGGTGCTGCTGGTCTGTGGGCAACACCTTTAGTAGCAGGGGTAGAGGTGACATCATCCTTTGTTCTTTTTTTCTTTTTCGAGACAAAGTCTCACTCTGTCACTCAGGCTACAGTGTAATGGCATGATCTCGGCTCACTGCAACCTCCGCCTTCCGGGTTCAAGAGATTCTCCTGCCTCAGCCTCCTGAGTAGCTGGGATTACAGGCACGTGCTACCGTGCCCAGCTAATTTTTGTATTTTTAGTAGAGATGGGATTTCATCATGTTGGCCAGGCTGGTCTCGAACTCCTGACCTCATGATCCACCCACCTCAGCCTCCCAAAGTGCTGAAATTACAGGCATGAGTCACTGCACCTGGCCATCCTCTGTCCTTTATCATTCCTGAAAGTTGGTTAACCTAGCTTTAAGTGCCTGTTTGCTTTTTCTTACATGTAGGTGTTGGCAGTACTGTTTCCTGGGTGCTGTTGATGCTCCCCCAGCATAAAGCACCTGATACCTGATTATAGCTGTTTGCTGTTGGCAGTCAGTCACTGACAGTGCTGACAGTTCATTACTCTGTGGGTTCAATTGCTGCTCGCTTATCACACTGCTCCTCCATTTATTAGCTGTCATCATTTAAAGAGAAAGTTTGTTCCATCTGCTAATTGCTTCTGCAGTGGCACTGCTCATATTGGATAAGAAGGATAAAAACTTTGTTCTTTGTCTTTGTCAGTTTTTATATTGTATTCTCTCTCTCTCTCTCTCTCTCTCTCTCTCTCTCTCTCTCTCTCTCTCTCTCTCTCTCTTTATTTATTTTGAGGCAGGGTCTCACTCTGCCAAGGCTGGAGTGCAGTAGTGCAGTAATGCAGTCTGGGCTTCCTGCAGCCTTGACTTCCTGGGCTCAAGCCATCCTTCCACCTCAGCCTCCTGAGTAGCTGAGACTATAGGTGCACACCACCATGCCTGGCTAATTTTTGTATTTTTTTTTATAGAGACAGGGTTTCACTGTTTCCCAGGCTGGTTTTGAACTCCTGAGCTCAAGTAATCCACCCACCTCAGTCTCCCAAAGTGCTGGGATTACTGGTGTGAGCCATTGCACTCAGCCAGTTGTCAGTTTTTATAAAAAAGGACTGGTTTCCTAGCGTGCTCCAAAGCTGGCCATTGAACATTTTGTAGTATCATTATGAACTCATAGATTTAAATGTTAGATGTTTCTCAGTTTTTTGCTGATAGCCTCCTTATTGATGCTCAAGTTCCAAAGTTTTCCTTATTGTTTTTTTTTACATTTTTTTTTAGTCTTGTAAATTATATTTTTTGTTGCTTTTGAATGTTGTATCCTTTTACCCAGTTACCTTTTTTTTGAGACAGAGTCTCACTCTATCACCCAGGCTGGAGTGCAGTGGCACAATTTCAGCTCACCATAAACTCTGCCTCCCAGGTTCAAGTGATTTTTCTGCCTCAGACTCCTGAGTAGCTGGGATTACAGGCACACACCACCACGCCTGGCTAATTTTTGTACTTTTAGTAGCCACAAGGTTTTGCCATGTTGGCCAGGCTGGTCTCAAACTCCTGACCTCAAGTGAACTGCCTGCCTTGACCTCCCAAAGTGCTGGGATTACAGGCGTGAGCCACCACTCCCAGCCCTTTACCCAGTTACTTTTAATAATATTGCCAACATGTGTGTGTATCAGTTTCAGAATGCTTTACACACAGCTATCCAACTGCACATTGTTTGGTTACACTGCTTCTATATTTGGTTTTCTTTTGTTTTCCAAGTATATCATCACATCATCTGCAAATATGTGTTTTCATCATCAAAATAGGAAATAATAGATATAGGAAATAATGGGGCTAACTGTCGGGACCTTTTTCATGTTTCACTTTAGAACAAATGTCTCTGATTAATTCTTTTCTTTCTTTCTTTTTTTTTTTTTAATATAAAGATGGGGTTTCACCATGTTGGTCAGGCTGGTCTTGAACTCCCGACCTCAGGTGATCCGCCCACCTTGGCCTCCAAAGTGCTTGGATTACAGGCGTGAGCCACCACGCCCAGCCTCTGATTAATTCTTATTACGTGTCATGGTGCCTGTACGTTGAATAAGAGCCCTGGTTGATTCACATTTACTCTACTGGATAATTTTTATTTCTATTAGAAGAGTTTTTGGTTTGTGATTAGGTTTATTTGTGCTTGTGTCCCTCTAAAGGAAACAAAATATTCTTTTTTTCCAGATCTGGAGTCAGCCTATGAGACTAAGAATTTACCTACAGAAAAAAGCCTTCATGAAATACGCGTTTCCAAAAGGCATTCAGATAGAAGAAGTAAATCCCTTGGCCATAGCTGGATATATGAAGGTACGCCTGAAAGACCACAGCGCTCCAGAGGCAGGTATGTCAATCGAATGGTCATCAATTGTGTGAAAAGGCCCAGTACTAGAGAAGGCACCCCTCCCAGATCCCATCAGAGACACCACAAGGAGAATTCCTTTGAATGTAAGGATTGCGGGAAGGCCTTCAGTCGTGGCTATCAACTTAGTCAGCATCAGAAAATCCACACTGGGGAGAAACCCTACGAATGTAAAGAATGCAAGAAGGCCTTCCGATGGGGCAATCAACTCACTCAGCACCAGAAAATCCATACCGGGGAGAAGCCGTACGAATGTAAAGACTGTGGGAAGGCTTTTCGATGGGGCTCAAGCCTCGTTATTCATAAAAGAATTCATACTGGGGAGAAACCCTACGAGTGCAAAGACTGTGGCAAGGCCTTCCGGCGTGGCGACGAGCTCACCCAGCACCAGAGGTTCCACACTGGGGAGAAAGACTACGAGTGCAAAGACTGCGGGAAGACTTTTAGCCGCGTATACAAACTCATTCAGCACAAGAGAATCCACAGTGGGGAGAAGCCTTACGAATGTAAAGACTGTGGGAAGGCCTTTATTTGTGGCTCAAGCCTCATTCAGCATAAAAGAATTCACACAGGTGAGAAACCCTATGAATGTCAAGAATGTGGGAAGGCCTTCACTCGAGTAAATTACCTTACTCAGCATCAGAAGATCCACACCGGTGAGAAGCCCCACGAGTGTAAGGAGTGCGGGAAGGCCTTTCGCTGGGGTTCCAGCCTTGTGAAGCACGAGAGGATACACACGGGCGAGAAGCCGTACAAATGCACAGAATGTGGGAAGGCCTTCAATTGTGGCTATCATCTCACTCAGCACGAGAGAATCCACACGGGCGAAACCCCGTATAAATGTAAGGAGTGTGGGAAGGCTTTCATTTACGGCTCGAGCCTTGTGAAACACGAGCGAATTCATACCGGGGTGAAGCCCTACGGGTGTACAGAATGTGGGAAGAGCTTTAGTCATGGCCATCAGCTTACACAGCACCAGAAAACACACAGTGGGCCGAAATCCTACGAATGTAAGCAATGTGGGAAGGCGTGTCACCAGCCAAACCTCCTCCGAGAACACCAGAGGATCCACAACAGCTGAAGCGCCCTTAGAACACAGCCGCCTGCTGTCATCCGTGGTTTCACTCTCCACGTTTTGTTACCCGCAGTCAACTGCGGTTCAAAAATATGAAATGGAAAATTCCAGAAATAAATTGTAAGGCTCAAATGGTGTGCCCTTCTGAGTAGCGTGATGACATCTCTTGCTGTCCTGCTCGCCCCTTGGTCCAGCACATCCGCACTGTATATGCTGCCACCCTGCTAGTCACTTAGTAGCCGCCTTGGTGATCAGGTCGACTATCACGGCATCACAGCGCTTGTGCTTACTTCTGCGAACAGTGGCCCCAAAGAGCAAGAGTGGTGATGCTGGTAATTAGGATATGCCAAAGAGAAGCCACAAAGTGCTTCCTTTTAAGTGAAAAGGTGAAAGTTCTCAATAAGGAAAAGGGAAAAAAATGTACACTGAGGTGGCTCAGAGCTACATGACAATAAGATATTTTGGGAGAGAGAGATATGTTCACATGATTTTATTACAGCATATTGTTACAGTTGTTCTATTTTATTAGTTATTGTTGGTAATCTCTTACTGTGCCTAATTTATAAATTAATCTTTAGATATGTTTGTACAGGAAAAAAATGTAGTATATAGTCTTGTATATATGTACAGGAAAAACACAGTCAGTACTATCTATGGCTTCAGGTATCCACTGGGTGTCTTGGAACGTATCCCCCTCAGGTGAGAGGGGGCTTCTGTACAAAGAATGTATGAAGGCCTCTAGACTACATTCATGCCTTCCTCAAGATGAGAAAAATTCATGATACTGTTGAACATAGGAAAGCCTTCACTGATCTTTTTTTTTTTTTTTTCTTTTGGACCCAGAGTCTCATTCTTGCCCAGACTAGAGTGCAGTGGCGCGATCCTGGCTCGCCGCAACCTCTGCCTCCCAGGTTCAAGCAGTTCTCCTGTTTCAGCCTCCCCAGTAGCTGGGATTACAGGCACCACCATGCCTGGCAAATTTTTTATTTTTAGTAGAGACAGGTTTCACCATGTGTTGCCCAGGCTGGTCTCAAACTCCTGACCTCAGATGATCCACCCGCCTCGGCCTCCCAAAGTGCTGAGATTACAGGCATGAGCCAACATGCCGAGCCCACTGATCACTCTTCTGCTTACAGAATATCAGAAGTCATTCTAGAGGCAAATTCGAAGAGTGGAAAAATCACTTTTTCTTAATTCTTAATGATTGTGTTTTTGGTGTAAACGTTTTTATTGTGTAGGTTAGTTTAATGAATACATAAAGATTACCAATACCATTCTGTCTTTATTCCGTGGCATCTGTGGAATGACCCTGCTAATGTAACACGTGAGAAAGCCTTTAGTCATGGCACCCACTCTACCAGTTGTCCCCGCCATCCCCCACCCTCTTCCCTGTGAGCTAAAGGCTCACTACTCCTGTGCACTGGACAGTGCACCACGTGGACACCATGTGCATTATTTGTACATAAGAATAATCACATCTACCCAAGAGTGCTATTGTGGAAACTGGAAATTAAATGTTTGGTACATGTGAAGTCTTTGAAAGTGTAACTGGAATATTGTGTAAGTTCAGTAAATCACCATTGTTGTTTTTATGATCATTGCTGCCATTAGTATTGCCATTAGTGAATTTTTGCAAGAAAATGCCCTGTGGGTGCAGCGAGTCTGGAAAAGACTGTTGATGTTCTAGGAAAAACCATTAAGAGATTATTGTCACAACCATGAGTTACACAATGATTTCTTAGTAGGCAAAACACAGCGGATGTAAAAAGTTGTTAGACTTCGTCAGCAAAAGTACAAAATTCTGTTCATCAAATGATGTGGTTAAGACAGAGAAAAGACAAGAAACAGGACTGGAAGAAGATGTTTGCTCTGCTACACCTGGCAGAGGAACGCACATGGAAAGTATAAAGAATCCCTCACGTTTAAAAAACAAATCAATTTAAAGGGGCAAAAACTCAAGCACATCACAGGAGAAGATCAGCAAATGGCCAGTCGACAAGTGAAAATGTATTCAGTGTCCCTGCTCCTCAAGGAAATGTACAGCCACAACGTGCTGACCCTCCAGGCAGAGACCAGAATGATCCCATTAAAGTCACAGTGACACAGAAAATGTCAGATGTCTCCCCACAGAGAAAAAGAAGGAAGCAAGGTGATGGACGTGTTGGTCCGCTTGATTTAATCATTCCACATGTGTACCTGCATCAGAACATGATGTTCTGCTCAATCAGTGTAATCCAATGATTTGTCAATCAAAAATATTAATAAATAAAATCAAAGACACACAGGTCTCTTTGTTGGATAGTCAGACACAACCTTTTCAAGAAGGAACAGCGCCAGCAGACTGGACCTCTTCCAAATCCTGGCGGTGCCCCACAGCAGGGACAGGACGGGAGGGAGGCAAGTGGACTGGTCCTGGGGAAGGGGTCAGCGCCCAGAGGAGAGTTGTTACATGAAAGGGGTGCCGATCCAGACCCCAAGAGAGGGTTCTTGAATCTCACACAGGAAGAATTTTAGGATGAGTCCTCCGTGCAAAGCGAAAGCAGGTTTATTAAGAAAGTAAAATGTCTCACAAATCACTAAAGGAAAAACTTTAAAAATACATTAAAAAAAAAAAGTAGGCCGGGCGCGGTGGCTCACGCCTGTAATCCAAGCACTTTGGAGGCCAAGGCGGGCGGATCACCTGAGGTCGGGAGTTCAAGACCAGCCTGAGCAACATGGTGAAACCCCATCTTGAAAAAAAAAAAGAAAAAGTAAAGTGATGGGTCTGGGTGCAGCGGCTCATACCATTAATCCCAGCACTTTGGGAGGCCGAGGCAGGCGGGTCACCTGAGGTCAGTTCAAGACCAGCCTGGCCAACATGGTGAAACCCCATCTCTACTATAAAAACAAAATAAGCCGGGCATGGTGGCACATGCTTGGAATCCCAGCTACTCCGGAGGCTCAGGCAGGAGAATCACTTGAACCCGGGAGGCAGAGGTTGCAGTGAGCAGAGATGGCGCCGCTGCACTCCAGCCTGAGCGACAGAGGGAGACTCCGTCTCAAAAACAGAGAAAGTGGTGAAAGGGCAGCTGCTCCCTAGACAGAGCAGGAGGCCCCCCGAAGTACAAGGAGGAATGCGGGCACCCGCATATGTATGGAGAGACGTGCTTTGCCACAAGGGTTTATGGTAAACGGTTACTTTTCTTAATTACTGTTTTTGCAAGAATTGATACTATCTTGAAAGCAAAATTAGGAATGCCTTTGCTCTCCGGGTGTCAGGATATGTGGACACTCCCAAGTCTGGGTCTGCTCAGGAACCATTATTAACTTGTTCCCGAAACCGTAAACATGAGAGGCTAGGAATGCATGCATTTCTCAGAATGCCTCCCAGCAAGTCTTAGCCTCATTTTCCTAGCCCGCACTCAAAGTGGGTTCTGGGGGAGCTGAGGACACAGACTCAGGGGAGAGGCCTGGGAGTTGTCGTAAGATGGTGCTGGCCTGAGGATAGGATTATCTCAGGGAAAGGACCACAGCCCACAGTAGGAATTGGAGAATATAGTTGGGAGAGGACTCTAGACCGCATGGGAGTGAGTTTGAGGGGGCAGGTGAGTGGCTCATGTGCATGGGAGGTCCTGGCTCATGGGAAAGGATAGCTAGAATTCAGGGATAGAGTTCAGGAGAGAGGGCTTAGGGCTGGAAGAGGACTGGAGTGCTCATGAGAGCAGCCGTGGAGATCCAGGGCAGACGCTACAGCCCACGGGAGAACCTTAGGCACAGGGGAGAGTGGTGCAGTGGCACAGTCTGAGCTCACTGCAACCTTAGCTGGGCACGGTGGCAGACACCTGTAATCTCAGCTACTCGGGAGGCCGAGGCAGGAGAATTGCTGGAATCTGGGAGGTGAAGGTTGCAGCGAGCTGCGATCATGCCACCACACTCCAGTCCAGGGCAACAACAGTGAGACTCCATCTCAACAAAGAAAGAAAAAGAATTCATGAGAAATTATTTACTGCAGGGCAGACACCATTGTCTAGAGAGGCAGCAATTACACAAAGTTACAGAAGCCGAAGAGCAACGGGGAAGGTTCTGATGTCTTTCAGGCAGCTGTGGCTGGGTGAAACTCATCACCAAAGCAAACCCCATCTGAGCCCATGCACACAGCAAGACCAACAGAATAACAGCACATTTCACTTGCTCTGTCTTTGGACAAATGTATGGGGCATCCTCACCTGAGTTTCCACTAAACCTGGAGTTATTTATTTCACAAGTTTTCACAACACCAAGGTTCAGCAAACTCTCTTAAAGGCCAGTTAGTCAGTATTTTACTAGACACATATTTTGCAGGGCACATCTGTTCTCTGTCACGTACTCCTCTTAATTTTTATGAGCTTTAAAAAAATGTGAAAACTGTGACTCACTTTTAATCCCAGCATTTTGGGAGGCCAAGGCAGGAGAATCTCTTGAGGTCAAGAGACTATCTTGGGCAGCATCAAGAGACCTTGTCTCTACAAAAAATAAAAAACTCAGAAGGGCATGGCGGCACTCACCTGTAGTCCCAGCTACTCAAGAGGCTGAGGTAGGCACATCCCTTGAGCCTCAGAGGTCAAGGCTGCAGTGAGCCATGACTGCAGAACTGCATTCCAGCCTGGGTGTTAGAGCAAGACCCTGTCTCAAAAAAAAAAAAAAAGGAAAAGAAAACTGTGAAAACCACTCTTACGCCCTAGAATGTACAAAAAGAAGTCCTGGAACAGTGGTGCACAACTGCACTCCCAGCACTTTAGAAGGCAAGGCAGTAGAATCATTAGAGGACAGGAGTTTGAGACCAGCCTGGGCAACATAGCAAGACTCCGGGCTGGGCACAGTGGCTCACGCCTGTAATCTCAACACTGGGAGGCCAAGGCAGTGCATCACCTGAGGTCAGGAGTTCGAAATCAGCCTGGCTAACATGGTGAAACCCCATTTCTACTAAAAATACAAAAAATTAGCTGGGCATGGTGGCACACTTCTGTAGTCCCAGCTACTCGGGAGGCTGAGGCAGGAGAATCGCTTGAACCTAGGAGGCAGAGGTTGTAGTGAACCAAGATCACACCACTGCACTCCAGCCTGGGCTACAAGAGTGCAGCTTGGGCAACAAGAGTGAAAATCTGTCTCAAAAAAATAAGATTTGAATATGAGACATCAAACCATAAAAATCCTAGAGGAGGCTGGGCCTGGTGGCTCATGCCTGTAACCCCAGTGCTTTCGGAGGCTGAGGCAGGCAGGTCACCTGAGGTCAGGAAGCCAATGTGGGAGAACGCTTGAGCTCAAGAATCCAAGATCAGCCTGGGCAACATAGCAAGACCCCATCTTTTTTTTTTTTTTCCAAGATTGCACCATTGCACTCCAGCCTAGGTGACAAGAGCAAAACTGTCTCAAAAAAAAAAAAAAAAGAAAATCTCATTAATTATTCTACCAAAAAGACGTGTACTTGTATGCACTGTGAGTGCTGACAGTCTCATTCCGTCGTCCAGGCTGGAGTGCAGTGGCGTGATGCTGGCTCACTGCAGCCTCTGCCTTCAGACCCAAGCGATCCTCCCACCTCAGCCTCATGAGTACCTGGGACTGCAGACATGCACCACCACTCTCAGTTAATTTTTCTTTTTTTCTTCTTTTTTTTTTTTTTTTTTGAGATGGAGTTTTGCTCTTGTTACCCAGACTGGAGTGCAATGGCGCAGTCTCGGCTCACCACAACCTCTGCCTTCTGGGTTCAGGCAATTCTCCTGCCTCAGCCTCCTGAGTAGTTGGGACTACAGGCACGCACCACCATGCCCAGCTCATTTTTGTATTTTTAGTAGAGACGGGGTTTCACCTTGTTGACCAGGATGGTCTCGATCTCTTGACCTCATGATCCCCCCACCTCAGCCTCCCAAAGTGCTGGGATTACAGACATGAGCCACACTACACCCTGCCCCGTGTCAGTCCTCTGCATATGGCTAGCCAGTTATCCCAGCACCATTTATTGAATTGGAGGTCCTTTCCCCATGGCTCATTTTTGTCAATCATCAGAAGCTTATAGGTATGTGGCTTTATTTCTGGGTTCTCTATTCTGTTCCATTACTCTTGTTGTCTCTCTTTTTTTTTTTTTTTTTTGAAATGGAATTTTGACCTGTCACCCAGGCCAGAGTGCAGTGGCGAAATCTCAGCTTACTGTAACCTCTGCCTCCGGGTTCAAGTGATCTTCCTGCCTCAGCCTGCCGAGTAGCTGGAATTATAGGCACCCACCACCATGCCAGGCTAATTTTTGTACCTTTAGTAGAGATGGGGTTTCACAATGTTGGCCAGGCTGGTCTCAAACTCCTGACCTCAAATGATCTGCCCGCCTTGGCCTCCCAAAGTGCTGGGACTACAGGCATGAGCCACTGTGCCTGGCCTATGTGTCTCTTTTTGTACCAATAACATGCTGTTTGGGTTACTATTTACTTTTTTTTTTTTAACATTTACTGGCTTATTGTAAAGGACATTACAAAGGACACACATGAAGAGATGCATAGGACGAGGTATGGGAGAAGGGGTGAGGAGCTTCCACACCCTCCCTCAGCACACCTCCCTCCTGGAGCCTCCAAATCTTCAGCTTTCAAGAAGCTCCCAGTTACTGTAGCTTTGTACAGTCTGGAATATCATGCCTCCAGCTTTGTTCTTTTTAATTAAGATTGCTTTGGCAGCCAGGCCTGGTGGCGTATGCCTGTAATCAGCATTTTGAGAGGCTGAGGTGGGTGGATCGTGAGGTCAGAAGATCAAGACCATCCTGGCTATGGTTGAAACCCCATCTCTACTAAAATACAAAAAGTTAGCCGGTCGTGGTGGAGGGCACCTGTAGTCCCAGCTACTCGGGAGGTTGAGGCAGGGGAATTGCTTGAACCCAGGAGACGGAGATTGCAGTGAGCTGAGATTGTACCACCGTACTCCAAACTGGCGACAGAGCAAGACTTTGTCTAAAAAAAAAAAGATTGCTTTGGCTATTGGGCTCATTTGAGGCTCTGTATGAATTTTACAATAGTTTGTTTTTTTTGAGACAGAGTCTCTGTCACGCATGCTGGAGTGCAATGGCACAATCTCAGCTCATTGCAACCTCCGCCTCCCCGGGTTCAGGCAAGTCTCATGCCTCAGGGTCCTGAATAGCTGGAATTACAAGCATGCACTGCCACACCTGGCTAATTTTGTACTTTTAGTGGAGATGGGGTTTCGCCACGTTGGCCAGGCTGGTCTCAAACTCCTGGCCTCAAGTCATCCGCCTGCTTCGGCCTCTCAAAGTGCTCTGATTACAG